GTCAATAATATGAGAAGGAACAGAGAACAACTCTCTATAAGCTGGACTGTTTTGCTCAGCTACTTTTAATTAAGATGATGTAACTAATTACATACTGCTTAACTGTTCGTGTTTATCTTGATATTTCTAACATGCTCATCATTGTGGCATCTAGTATGTCTCTATGGACTGACAGAATGGTTTGGGTTGGAAGGGACCTTAAAGATTATCTCATTCCAGCTCCGCTGCCATGGACAGGGACACCTTGCACTAGACCAGGTTGGTCACAATTCCTATGTGTCCCCATCTATAGAAAACTGATTGCAATCAGTTCTTCATATTTGGTTAATGTCTGCACCTTGGTGATTTTTTTTTTTTTTGGCAATATATCTTCAATTCATCTATGTAGCTGAAATCATGGCTTAGATACTTGTCTTTTCCATGATGAAAAATGCAGATTTTCAACCCAAAATCATGTTGCAGCAGATTTGCTGAGTTTCTCCACTCCCTCTTTTAACCTGCTGTGATTTTCAGGGTCTGTCATCGATTATATTTGCTCTTAATCTCTCTTGACATGATCACTCCAACCTCTGCTAAGGGTAAGGATTTTCAAAGAAATACATGGATAATGTTTCCAGAAACATCTAAAACCAAATCACAGTCTTCTGGTTTTAAATTTATGTGTGAAGCTAAAAGCCCACTCAAAACTGCCTAAAATACATCTGTCTTTGGAGAGTTGCTCAGCATCCCACTGAAGATCCTTCCATTTCCTGTAGTCCCCAAAATGGTCAGTTGCTGAATGAAATCACAGCATAGTTTTCTACTAAAACTGTAATTATTTTCTATTCTGATAAGAGGAAAACTGAAAAAACAAATACACTAATCATAGGAAGGTGTCCTACACTATCAGTATAGTTATACAAGTAACAATAAAATCTAGACAAAATTATAATTAAATTAATAGTTTTTTTCTTCCCCTAGAAAACATAATACAAATATTAATGTCTGGAGACATGGATGATAGAAACCACTGAGATTCTATTTTATTATGATTTTTTGGTTAGTATGGCCTGAGTTACTGAAAGGCTTTTCAATATTATGCATCTGGAAGTGTGACGAGTTGCCAAAAGTGGGATGAGAACCAAAGGACATCTACATCTTCAGACATGTGCAAATTGTTTCAGATTCACCCCCCAAAAACACCTTCAAGATATTGACTTCAGTAAGGTAGACATCCAAATTCTTTGCAGACTGATAAATAATGTCTTTTTTAACAAGCACACTGAACCTGGGATAGTAACTGTATCAGTAAAGCAGTGTAAATAAAAGATGTTATTTAGACAGAATTTTTCAAACAGAGAAACCTACAGAATCCCAATAATATATTTTGCATACAAAAAAGACAATTGAAAAAATTATCAAAAATACTGAGGAGGAAAATATAGTCTTTTATTTACAGTCAATGTCTCCTTAAGAATTTAGTTTAAATAAATACTCCATCCCACTACAATAACTTTTACAAAGTAATTCATAGCACATCTTGGTTTTTGAGAAAATTATACTTTCAGATACACAGCAGAAACACACACACACACACACACACTTACAACATGGAATAGGGAAAAAGTGCCTGAATCTATTTCTTTGTATTACTTTTTCTTTTAAGACATTTGTAACATATTTAATCAGGAACTATTCCAAGTAGTTTAATTTTGAAAACCAAAAAGAAACCGAAACCATATTAATATTCCATTATTTTTGTTTTACATATTGTAGGATGATAAATGCAAAGTTGATTTCAATTCAAAGGACAGCAAATATATAATTGCTGACTGTATTTGCTGAGTGTACTTAAGTAAAGCTATGATTTTATTAAAACAAATCCCATATGGACATCAGAGACCTAAATGCTGTTATGCCTGTGAAACTTGCTAGGTACACATAAAACACTATCAGCATTGCAAGAGAATTTACCATTTTGCTACATCTTCAAAGAGAAGTTAAGAAGCCAAAGAGGCCTCTCTTTTGATGATTTTGTATCATATGGAGAGAAGAGAGGAAAGCATACCAACAATAATAATGTTCAACAGTGCAAATATTTAACTCAGAATGACTGGAAAGGAAAAAGAACCCAAATAGCTAAGTGAAGATTGAAAATCATACTATAATCCTACTAAAAACACTTTCCAGTGGTCAGGCCTTGATTTTTCACGTAATATTATTTCTGCTTCCTGCAGCTTCCAAATGTGGGAAAGCTTTCAGTACAGTGAATAATAGCTAAGTACAATGGCAGGGGCAGCTTTTGTTCTTGAGGCTGATATAGCCCCCACCAAAAACAGTGTCATTATACATCTGTATTTCTTAAAGTATATAGTTCTGTTATTCCTGGGGAACATACAGTCAGTCATCATCTGGGCATTCACAGCTTTGCTGAAAGCACCTACAAGAGAGTGCTTTTATCAACTCTCTGTGCAAAATCCTTACCCAGTCCCATCTGACATGGAGCATGAGTCTTCCTTTGCAACAGGTACCACTGGTTTCAAAACCAATGCAATACAACAAGGACATTTCACTGGACATAGCTTTTCTGAACTTGATCCCTAAAAATCTGATGTTTCCCCCCCCCACCACAGCCCCCTGAATTATCAGGCAAGCCCAGAGATCCGAAGCTTTGAGGGGAGGAATATCAGGAGATGGCAAAGATTTCCAAAAGAGGCTCTTACCCCGATATATGTTGGTGCAGCTCTCTTTATTTTGTGATGTCCATGTGGAGAGTGGGGCAAAAGAGGACGAACAGGAAATGTCAGGGGTCTATATAGACTTTGGACAGGGTGGGCTTCTCTGGCTCTCCGCCAACCCTGTTGGGGCAGGAAGGAGGGTCCAGGGTTATCTTGATCAGAGTCACAGGGTCCCGGGGAAGGGGGCACAGAGTGCCTATGAGCTCACTGTAACAAAAATCTGCTCCATTTCCCTCTCAAGTCTCTCCCTTTTCCAAGCTATACGGAGATGAAAGTGTGTTGTTCGGGCTACATGCCTGATGAGCATACACACAGATTATTTCACTTGACTATAGTTAGCACTCAGGCCCCCTTAGAAACTTGTCCAAGAAAAGCTGGCTTGATTGTCTGATATAATATAATCTTTTAATTAAACCCAAGCAAACTTGACTTCAAAAGAAAATCCTCAAGGAAGATATAGTGAGGCTTATATTATTGTTTCAATGGCACTGCAACATTTTCATTCGTTACAGCCCTTCTAAAACCCACTGGACTGTAACACAAAATAAAAAAAATTAATAGAATGAGAAAAAAAGTATTGTTTTTATGTGGAATGAAATAATTTTTATTTCTTCACTTTCCTGTCAGATATGAAAGAAGTCTAGAATAGAACTGTGAGCTTGTTCTGATTAATTACAAAATGGTACCCTCCCATGTAAAATCTAGAAGATACCCACACCACAAAAATAAACAAATAAATAAATAGAAAAAAAGAATTGTAAGAAGAAGAACATGGCTTTTGTCCAGTTTACAGTGGTTAGCTGCTATTGGCAATACACCCCCAAAACTACTTTACACCTAAAAGTATCAGGTGCTTTACAGCTTCAAGCTGTAGGAAATAGTGCTATAATCTTACATCGCTACCCAGTTTTTGCAGTTTCTATAACATACTGTTTGTGGATGGTTGCTCAGGATAAGCATTTGTTCAACAACAATGAATTGTGTTTATATCATAGCAAAAGAGACAGTAAAAGTACTAAACTACAAGCTTGGCCCCTCTGGGAGAAGTCTAGAGGGAAAATGTACTATTTAAAGTACTCAAATGCATTGTTCAGAGATTGAAAAGTAATCTCGTGGAAGATTCAAAAAAATTAAAGAAAATTATCAACCAGATAATTGAACAGGTCCTCTTTTTACAGTCACTTGAGCTTCTATAAGGCTGCCATTTGTCAGTACCAATATAGTACATAAATCTCAGCCTGCCAACACTCTTCAGGTCTTTGAACTGACCAAATACCTTACGGTTCAATGTCTATCACAAAAGCATCCTAACATTCTTGGTATTATTTTGTGCCACAGTTAACTTCTGATTGTAGTTATCAGTGACAACAGAATTTGGTCCCATCATTTGGCCCTATGATACAAGTACTAGTTTGTGATTAAGAGAAGCTGAGAAGGCAGATGTCATGGCAGCTAAACTCATCTTACCTCTAGGAAAATATGAATGTTCCTGCCAGGACAACACTGGGAAACCTGAAATACAGCGGTCTGTCAGGACTCTAATGATGGATGGCTCTTTCAACAGTTTTTGTAGTCAATATTCTACTGGTCAGAGCACAAAGAGTAGGGTAATATAAGTGTTTCTGTTCATATCAAATAATCATATGATCAGTAACAGGCACAGAATGATGTTCATATACATGAATGCAGCATTTCTGAAAATTGTAGAACCTAATGAGCAGATACATACAACTCTACAAAACTTTTGCTATCTTGGAAGAATGTTCTAGCTTTTACCTTAATCTGGAAATATAGGTAAGATCTCTTTCCCTTTTGAAAATCAACCATTGACATTATTTTCCAGTCTCCCTTCTAGGAGTCGCCAGGACAATCTATGCTCAGGAAATTCTGCAGTGTAACTCCTGAGAAACATACTGTTAGAAACTGATGGATAAAGCAAAGATGCCATGCCAACAGCTTTCTCCATCCTCCAAAAGCTCCCAGGTCTCCAAAACCTTTGCAGGCAGATTGTACCACAGAAAAGAAATCATGTCCCACACTGGGATAGTTCAGTAGAGTTTTCCTAACAGGATACTAAAAGATTTTATCCAGTCCCATGACCCCATAGTGTTTTCTATGGATTTTTTTTTACCATGTGGGCTAGAGGCATACACACGTAAGTAAACCTGCATGCATATATAAGCACTATCAGCCTGTATAAAAAGGCTTCTTATTAACTCAATATTAGCTTATTGAAGGCGAAATTGAGGTGAAAAAGTATGAAATAAAATCAACCAGAAACAGTTGATGAAAAAGTGTAACTTTTAATTTAGTCAGAGATGACACCTGGCAGAAGGAAATCACAGGAAATGCAATGCTGTCCTACATTAGGGAAAAGCTTATGTCACTTGATAAAGTCCTCCCAGGAAGGTGGAGCACTCTGTCTCTAAGCTATTTATCAGTTCAGCATTTTCACTTCATTGGTTTTTACAATACATAATCTCTTCTATCTAGTGCTTTAGTCCTAGTTTAAGCACTAGGACTAAAAGGTCCTAATTTAAAAGCCTGAATTCTGTGATGTATCAAATAAAAATTTATATACAGTTAAAGCTTGCAAAATTTCCTAAGATAGTACCATTTAGGTGTACCTAATCTTCAACGAGTGAAAAAAAAAATTAGCAACCTTGTTAGGAGTATTTTTTAAATTGAGAAAATTGTTTAAAAGAACACACAAGAAAAGGTCTTGCACGCATTTTGAAAAAAAAACTTGCAAAGTCAATTATTTTTTAAGAGTTCTGCCAATTTCGATTGTACAACTTCTGAACTTCAGATCTCTAAAGTAGTTGCATTGAATTCTTATGTCTTAAACCCTATTGAGCAGTGGAAATGTTTGGTAATGATATTAGCAGGCCATATCTAAAAGGAAAGACAGTTATTTAAATCTGGCACCAGGCTAATGGTACCCAAGATAAAGTCTCTTGCATATGCTCAAACCTTTGACTGCTAAGGAACTAGGGTTTCTATGATTCTGGGATTTCTCACTGCGCAATCCAAAATGCCAGTTTTCTCAGACCTAGCTTGGGAATCTCCAAAACAGTGTTGAATTTCAGAGCATATAGATTTTCTACCTTAATACCGTAAGATGCATCAAAAAAATATTAATTATTAATAAACTGAAATAGAAATATTTATATACAGAAACTGAAGGTCATAGTTTCTGTTTCGATGCAAAAAATTGTAAGTTAAATATAAAAGTTCAATATTTAATCTATACATTTACAACCCTATGATAAAACACAAGGCAAAAAAATTGCATGGGTTAGTGATGACAAAACACCAGGGTAGTTCTCATAGTTTAGTAAAAATATAAGGAAAAAATGATTTCTATTGTCAAATCTCAAGCACACTAAAAGGTCTTCCATTTAAAAATCAACAAATGGTAATGTAAATAATGTAAAGAGCACTTTGCAGATTAATATCTACTCATCTACACTGAAATCTTCCTAATAATTTGATTTATAAATCAGTCTTGTATATTATTATTGTGGGGAATAAGCACCTTATGAGTAAAATAGGTTATAATAGTAATTTCCTTTACAGTCTTTGAGAAGCTTGGCAGTAACAGAAGAAATGAAACCAAAACACAACACAAAATTCCCCCTCTTAAGCCACATCTACTTTACAGTCATAGAAGTGACTTCTGTGAAGTGTTGAGGTATTTTAAGTTAAATAGACCAGAAAATTGTATCTGCCTAGCTATTGCTGCTTGGCTTGAGTCCACTCTTTTACTTGATTGACAGCAATGTAGATGTGTTCCAGAGCCTTCTGTTCCATTCCATTTTCGTAGTTTCTTTCTTTTCTCCTTCTGTCCTTTTATTCTCCCCAAAGTAGGAAGCTCAAGGTAAAGTGAGGCTTAAAGCTAAAGCTTAAAACATAATGTTTGGTGACACTTGGTGAACCCAAAGCTAAGTTCTGGTTGATGCATATTTGTTATGCCTGAAGTGCCTAAATATTTCATCAATAAACAGCTTATATGGACATATCTGTAACTATCTCCTCTCCAGTACACAATTCTAGTTAAAACCAGCAGGTGCACCATTGTGGCTTCAATCACTGTCTGGAGACACTTGTGGCTGTCACTGGGGGGAAAGTGTGATATTTAGCTGATGAACGCCATCCAGGAGTCTTAAGGTCTTGATTAATAAAAATGAATAAAATAATCTATGTGAATTCTTCTTTTCATTTAAAAATAGTTCAATTAGTAATAGAGGATTTAAGTCATGGGCTAAGCTGGAATCAGAAACTCTGACCTGAGAGGAAAACCAATACAATTGAAAATTACAAAGGAGAAAGGTCCCCGTGCTATGTAAGTTTTTGAATCTTCTAAAAAATAGCCTTAATTCTCAAAATCTTGGCAAATTGCTAATCTGATAAAAGAATTATAAATCTGATCAAGGAATGCTTTAAATGAATAATTTTAATTTTAATCCCTTTTTATATACATTTCTCAATGTTTCAAAATGAAGTCAATTTAAACTGAAAAATAAAAATTCACATTCATAAATTTTGAAACAGGATATTTCAATAAGTTAAAACCTTTTTTCCACAATATACTGCTAATGGGAATTTTCAAGACCATCCATTTTCACAAACAGTGCTGCTCTTGCTGAATAATACTTCAAGTAATACTTTTCATTGAAAAACTCTCAGTCAGGTCAAATGGCAAAATACACTATCTTCATGATAGATAGAAAATGATGTAAAAAATAAACACAATTTGCTTAAACACTCATCAGAATTGCCTTACTTGCTATTGTTCTTTGGCTTTTATAGGCATTATTGCTCCTATTATTTATCACTAAAAGTATTGGAAAGAAATGTACTTCACCTAGTTAGTGGAAGACAGGAAACTTAAATCTTTGAAATTTTCTTCTCTGCAATGGGACTAGTAATACTACAAATCAGATTATTTTTGCTGGCATACTGTTGACTGCTTTCATAAGAATTATTCTTAAACATCTGGAGTTTATCTGTAGCAGGTAGAAACTCCCAAACATACAAGAGACTCTTGAGTCCTTTGTTTTTATTTATGCAGGAATGAGAGAGATACTAATTTAAGAAACCTGCACTGAAATCCTAAGTTAATTTATGAATGGGTCTCCAAAACTGCTATTTTCCTTAATATGTACACTGCTAGGGGTGACTTTGCCTAGGTTTCATCTCAGTCTCTCTATCAAATTTGCTGTATGATAACTGATGTCTGTCTCATGTATATTCTTTCCAGTTTTAAAGCAAAGGACAAATGCTTTTCCCTTACTGGCTTTTTGCACCTTTTTGCTTCACCTAATTTCTCTTTGTAACCAACTTCATACACCACTATCATAAAGTCAGTTTCTCTCTTGTGGACAGCAAGCAGAATCACTTTTCTCTTTTACCTTAAATTAACTTCTGCTTCCAGATTTCTCCTCCTAAGAATCCAAATCCTTAAAACGCAGTAAAAATCTTCAAGTAATGGTGGATATTCAGTAGGGTTATTTTCAGGCTTTGCCACTTTATGGCAATGGTGATAATGTTACAGGAGGACAGCAAGACCCTGCTAATTCCTTCTGAAGTTTTACTTATTGTATTATGTATATATAAATTAAAAAACATATGTATATATATATATATAAATATATAGGTGTGCTTGACACCTTCTTCATACAAATATAGGGGGACAAAAGCAGACTGCATAATGTATTTTAGAGTGAGATAATTGCTATTAAAAAGAAAGCTTTCAACAGGATTAAAAGTCAAATATTTAATGGCAAATGTGTAACTCCATGGAGAGATATTATTGTGTCTTCATTAATAATGACCTTCAAACTCATCATTTTATGGAACTGGTATTTGCAATATATGCTGAAATAAAAATATACATTTTATCTTTTTTTCTTTTGAAGCTCAAAATTTAGGAAATGTTAGATTAAAACCATAAAAATAATAAATCTGTTATGCCATCAATCATAAAACTAATTAATTTGAATATTCCTTTTTACGTGCAAAATATTACTCCCATTTTAATGAATGGCATAAGCTGAAGCATCTATAAAAATATTTATAGTAAAATACAGCATGAATCTATAATTACATTTAGTAAGTTTTAGAAAGATGCGTCCAACACTTAGACACTGTAAAATTATTTAGAATGAGTCAATTTTACCTCAGTTACTACTGAAGTAACAAAAAGTATGCTGCAATAGACCTTTGTGAACTGAATGGCATATTTGCTCTCATCTACATAAAGCCCCGTAAATAACCTACAGGTTGTTAGTCATAACTTAACTCAGTATCCAAAAATACTCATTTTAGCTTTTCCATGTTAATACATTATACAAAGAATATTTTAATTAACCATTAACAACAAGATGCATTTTTAAGCAATGTAAGGAAGAGTTACAGAAAAAAAATTTTGACTTCCCATGTAAAAACCTTCTTAGAATTTCCTCCACTGAACATACAAACCCCTCTGAAGGAACTCGAAAGTCTTTAATGGATTGTCTTGGGACAGATGAGCAACGCAGAATTCAGTATCTAACATAAGGTGCTTCCTGGGCCATTGGTGTAATAAAGCATCAGGCAAGGTATGAAATCACTCCACCATTTTCATTCACCTTCTTTCAGTTGGCAGTCACACTGGCTTCCTTCTGACGTAGTCTCTCTTTCTGTTAAAGAAAAAAAAGAGTTTTATTATAATTGTCATCTGTAATTTTCCATCTCTGTTTAAGTTCCCATGAGCACTTGGTCTAGAAGATGGAGAAATAAGTCACAGTTTCAGTTTTCTTTAAAAAATGCTTGGAGCACTCAAAGAAGTTTAAAACTTTGAAACACATTACTTACTGTGGAAAAGCTGAGTTTACTTTCGTTACATACTTGTCAAATACTGTGTACCTTTAAAAATACACATCTGTGAAGACCACTGTAGCTACAGAAAACCAGATACATTTCAAATTCATGTGACTCTAATACCTTCTCATGTCTGGAATGGCTTCTGCTGACATAAGGGCTCTAATTTAGCATTAGCTAGATGATCTTGCTTAATGACCTCTTTCCAGGCAAGTGTAGTCATTCATATCTCTGCTGCCTAATCTGCAACTGATACGCTCTGCTGGGAATGGAAATAATACCCTGATGCCTTCAAGTACATTTCCTTCCCTTGGGCTCTTACCTTCTAGAGTTTGAGAAATGCTTTTCTAACCTATGTGCCTTCCACACAGACAAAAAAAGGATTTATACACAATTCAAATTATTAGACCTCTAGATATTGTGTTGTATCAAAAACACTGGTGTAAAACAAGGAATAAAATGGGGATTTAATCCCTTCTACCACTATTCCACAGATAAAACAAGATTTTTAAGGTTTTGAAAAAACCGGACACTCCAGCCATTGGACAAATATTTGCAGTGAGCTTCTGCACTTTGAAGTATGGAAGAAAATACAAGAGACTACAGTGGAAGGGAAGAAGAAACCACAAAAGCAGCTCTTTTTGTTATCTAAAACTGCAGAGACATGCTTGGGCACAACTGAACTAAATGTTAAACATAACTGTGGACTACCAAAGGGCATAAGCTTTAACATTTCTCCTCAGGAAGAAAAGCACTCTGCTGCATTCAAACTAAAAATACTACACTCTCCAACAACAGTAGAAACCAGCCATCATTCTGAATGACAAGAATGGTGTCACAAAACCCCTTTGGAACGTCATACTGAAAACCAGACCATACCAGGCTAGCTGTAGGATTGATTTTCTTCGTTTCAACTTTCTTCTCTGCAGTTAACTTGCTCACTGATTGCTGAGCCACTTTAATTCTGAAACACAGAAAAGGAGTCATTAGATTTGATGAAAGGTATTCTGGCTATGCTTTGTAAGAAACCTCACCAGTACCATTTTTTTTGGGCACATTAGCCCAACAAACTGCTATTTCTATTTGAAGGCACTTTAAATAAACTACCAAAAGTAGATCAAAGTACATTTTCAAATGGAGAAAATCAAAAGCAAAAGGACAGCCTGTCTGTATTGCTCCTTGAAAATGTCATCAGGAAAATTATTTCTCTGTTGTTTCAGGATCTGGATTTTATGGAGTATCTTTCCCACCAAAAAAGCTGTGCTATCAAAGCAAAAAGATCCTCCTCTGAAAAAAAAGAGCTAGCTGGCTTAATCTGTTCTAGGCACAGAATATACTATTTTAGCAGGCCATCTGCCAGGCTATACATTACATTTCCTCTGAAAACCTTGACATGAAAGCATCTGCCAGTTTTTTGTTAATATTTTTCTGTGTTGCTTTAGATGGAATTGACTGACCAGGCTCACTAATGTGGCAATAGGACGTACAAGAGGTTCTTGTTTCAGGGTAGTTAAAGCTGTCTTGTGTACAGCTAGAGACTACTCTGCCAAGAGTACTGTAGAGATAAGCGGCAAGAAGAACACATCTGATTCCTCTGCTTCTTGCCTTTTGCTCTCAGGGTCTTGCATACAGAACCTGTCTTTCTGTGGGGATTTAACAGAAGAACCCAATGAGGAGTTTAATCAGGAGGAAGAGGAGAAACAGAGAATTAAAGAAAAAGGGACTTTACTCTCCTTGTACGGACTGGAAAGTCCATAGGAAATTATGTGCTAAACAGTGATAAAAAAGAAAGAAAATTCTTGGCACTCCTAATAGAGGATCTGCCCAGTGCTAAGTGCCTCTCTAATAGTGATGGTACATTCAGCTACTTTAAATTCCATATACAAAATGCAAAAGGAATGAGGTTGGGAGTGAATTTTTACAAGCATGGAGAACTCAGCAAATCAATTTTCAGTAATGTACACCAAGTCAGTCTTTTACTAGAAGCAAAACATTTCTTGGCACTCTTGAACTGAAAAGTTCTACTTTCTTCTCCTATTTAACTTTTTCCACTGGCAGAAAAAATTGCTATGGCCAGTCAAAAAGTATTTAAAATACCATGTCCAGTTCAATCCACTTTCGACGCACTCAATTTTTGAGGAATTTTGGAAGAAAAGCAAAAAGAAAAGTGGATTATAGCTGCAATTACTGATGTGCACATCCTTGTTGTAACACGAGCAGCAAGTTGGATTCTTTTTAAAACAAAGAACATATTCATAAGTCCATCGTTGTCTTTATCAATGTTGGAAATAAGAAAAAGTCTTCTCTATGTACTTTAGAAGCATGTATGGGCAAGTTCCTGGTAGTGCTTCATAAGAGGAGAAAACAGCTACACTACTTCAGCTAAACTTCAACTGTTTAGCTACAGTGTTGATTCAAGCTGTAACTACAGCCTCACATACATATGTATGAAATTATTATTATGTACATTTTTTAAATACAGCTAGCATACTTTAAGAACTTAATTAGCATTCCCTGTTTCTACATGTAAACAACCACATGACAACATATAATTTCATCCCTTTATTTTTGTTGATCTGCACAGTTTCCTTCTTAAGGCAGGATGACTGCACCCACTGCACAGCACAGCTACAATGTTTATGCAAAGATGATGATGGATTTCAATACAGTTTTCTTCTCAGCAGAATCATACCAATAGATCAGCTTCCAAACTCTTCCCTATTTTGAACACATTTTCTATCTGATCACATTCTCCTTGGTTCTAGAAGTGTTTTCAAAAAGTTTTTAAATGTCGAGTCCACACTTTCATCCAAAGGGAGAATTACAGGGATTACCAACTTTTAGACTGAAAATTATGTCTGTCACTAATATAGGTCTAGCTCTGTGCATTTTATGGCATATTTTCACTATTACTAGGAAACCTGGATAGAAAGAATAGAATGAAAGATGGGAACAAACTTTAAGCAGGGCCTATTGCAAAAGGAGAAGGGGTAATGGTTTTAAATTAAAAAGTCAGTTTAGATTAGATATAAGGAAGAAGGTTTTTACCTTGAGGATGCTGAAATAGAATCAAGCCCTGAGATCGAGGGCCACAATCTAAATTCACAGTGACAAGGACAGTTTTGGACAGAGAGCACTGGAGAGGACAAAGAAGGGATGACAGAGTAGGTGAACCACAACACAAGAGACAAGGGTGACTGCACACTGAAGGTTGTCCAGAAAGGCTGTGGAGTCTCCCCACTGGAAATACTCAAGAACTGTCTGGATGCAATGCTGTGCCACGTGCTCCAGCATGACCTGCTTCAGCAGGGAGACCGGACCAGGTGAGCCACTGTGGTCCCTTCCAGCCTGACCAATGGCTAATTTAGCCTAATCATGAGGCCAAAACATTATGGAATGCAGGTCACTTAAACCTTCAAATCTGATGAAGTGCAACAAGGATGTGTTCAAAAGAAACGTTATTCTCCTTCAACTGTGATCAAAAGAAGTCAATGCACCTTAATAAATAAAGAAGATATGGTGTCAAACTGAGCAGTACTGCACATTAACATACAATGTGGAAAAAAATTGAATTAAACTAACAAAACTATGTATTTTAAAATATGAGCATCATGACTCCAATACTGCATATGTATCCCTACTATAACCAATGGGAATGTAATCAGCTTTTTCCTGCCTCTATGTGGCAGGTGGTGTCTTCTGTAGACTGGATAAAAGCCAAGCCTCAAATTAGAAGTTATTAGTGAAAAATAACGACATTATTTTTATTTTGTACCTAGGGATGCAGAAACCTAATCTAAACATAAGCCTGTGTTTATTATGAAAAAGTTTCCTTTGTAAGAAAAATATAGAAAATATGTTTCTCCCTTACAGGAAAAGATATTACCAAGCCAGGGACTAAGTAGACAAACTGATTATAATTTTCACCTCTGCTTTCCACTCAAGTCAGAGAGAAAGCAGCATGAACTGGCACATTCTACCCTCTGAAGTTCCTCAGTTAGGAAAACCAGAATTGCTTGTAAATGAACCAATTGCCTTTCACATACTCATGTTCTGGCTCTGTTATTGTGTGGCAACAGAAACCAAATTATCTGGTTCTCTCTCAGCTTCTCAATAATCTGGAAAATCCATTATTTTCGCTTCTACAGCTCCTTTCATGCAGCTAGTGGGTTATGTGGATAGCTGTGGGTTAGGAAATAACTTGGAATGACAGTTCTGTGTCACCTGAGCTTCCCATGACTAGAACAATTAAATTTCTCCCATAAAACTGTTTTGACATAAAGAAATGTTGTGCAAACAAAATTTCAGATATGGGTGGAAATGAACAAGTGGAGGTAGCTTCAGTCAACATCAACTGTTCAATCTAGAGCCAAGCTGCATATCCAGTCCAGATCCTTAACACAGCTGAACAGTGACTTCCCTTAGGACTATGAGAAATCCCCAGAGCTCAGATTCCTTTCATGTGTTAAATGCCTTTCTACTCAGTCCTATTTCTGTACGCAGCTCATAAACTAAACCTCAAGTCACAGCTCCATTTCCTGAAAACTGTTAGTCCATGAAATAAAACAGGTTAGATTTCAGTATCAAAATTTTAGAAGACAAATGTTTGCGCATTACCTGGCCTGGCAGATGATTTTACAGAGTACTTGGCTAGCTTTAAAATTAGAAGCCTTATATCAGATTATGAAGTTTGAATGTTGCCACTTCTATTAATGTGTTGTACAATACAACTGCCTATCAAGCCTTTGGGCCTAAATCTTCTGGAAAGAACTTTGTCATTACTGATTAAATCATTAGATTGCATTTAAAATAAATGTTCACTAACTCAATTAGTAAAATACAGTAAAATGTATGTTGTCAGTGGATTTTGTCATCAAACCTCAAATTGCCAATATGTTTGATATGTTTCTTTTTTTTTCTGGATGTACTGACAGTGGTTTATCTACAAAGTAAATCAGAAATTTCTGTAGTCATAACGAATAAGATTTTTTTTTTTTTAGATTTTATTTTAGGAAAGTGGGTGCATAAGAAAAACCAATAGGAAGACAAGGGCTACAGAACAAAAATATACTTTAGTCCATCTGAGATGGCCACTGGCTGATATTTAGGAGTATATAAAGACAGCCAAATCCTGGTGATAATCCCCAGAATGCTTTTGCAGCCGAAACTCCCTTAATGTGTAAACCTTTGTAGATTTTTCTAATATGATTTTGTATTGTCACCATTTAGTAGCAATGCAAGCTTTTACCATCTGTGACATCTTGTGACATGGTGTTTCTGTTTTCAAGATGAAAAATATAATTCTGCCCATTAAATAATGATCATGTCTTCTCCAGCTACTGAGACAAATTTTGGTTCTGTTTTTGATTTCTAATTCTGGCCTATTTGCATGCATATTCTATCTGAAAGAGATTACTTAATCCAGTACAGTAACCATTGTAACAATCTTTGCAAGAGACAGTAGTGAGTCTAAGAACAGCAATTCTTTCCTATTTTAATTATTTCATATCTGAAGGGCAACAGGCATAAACACATTATTATAATTTTTGTCACATTTCTTTTGCAAAATATAATCACAGTTTGTGATGAAATTCACTGCAAACTACAAGCACTTCTCTGTATTTATACCTTTTCCTTATTTCAGACTTGTCTAGAACATCCTCTTAAATGTAATTTAACGCACCATAAATGCTTTAATTGATTTATGGATGGGCATTCATATATGTATATATAATGGATTTAAGTTGTTATAAATATGTATTTGTTTTGGTTCTGAATTCATAGACATGCCCACTGCAAATAAAATTAGTAGTTTAAGAAAAGGAAGTGACAGTGGAAATATCTGCAATCCACCTTGCTGTAAGTACTTCATTGCCAAAACCTCCAACTTTTTAGTCTTCGATTCAGTTATCATCTCAAAATTTCATAAACAGAAAAAAGCATAAAAGCAGTTGATGTACCTGAATGCATACACATTGTAAATTATAAAGCCGTCAACAACAAAGCTGGATTTTGAATCAAAACAGCACTGAAAGACATGTTTCCAACCTTTGGTGCACTTACATTAAGTTGTTTCTTACAGATAATGTGATTGTCAAAACAAATTTTATTTCATTGTACTTAAGTTCCGGTATTGAAGGAAAAGTAAACTGTCACCATATTCCTATCAGGCATATGGTTTGGAAAATCGTTTTCATTTTAGCCCTATTGTCATTTATATATCATATATCATAATATCTTCATATCATAGTTTCTTATTTATCTGTAACTCCATCTTGCATTCCTAAATTATGTGTGAATTTTGTCCAGGAAAGAGACAATGACTCAATTATATTTTGCAGGCAGCTAATTTATTTTCATGGTGAGCTTAAATGCAGGGCAGCTCAGTTGAAGTGTTTCCCTTACTTTAAGAAAAAGTCTCACTGAAATCTCATTAGATTCCTACAGTTGTGTTACGTTTGGGAGCCAAGTAGCTTTAGATGAAACAGGTTCTTCGCAGCTGAGACTGTCATTTAGTTAAAGACAGCACTCTTTTTTCCTGAAACTCAGAGATTTTAAAGTTTTCTCTTATACAACACAATGGAGTTAGTTTGAGATATAAAATTTTAATTTTGGAATAATAGATCTTTTGATTTATTTTTACTACTATTAAATTTAAACTAATACATTTCTAATTATTCCTTTGATTAATGATAATTCTGTATATTATAATTAATTTTTTATGTGTAATATTTCTTGAGAGACAAATTACAATCCACTATATTAACGTTCCTATGTAAATGTAAATAATTAGCTAAGTCCTACACATTTTACATTGGGTTTTTTCAGCTAATGAAATTTGAAACGGAATCCAATTGGAAACATGTTCACATAATGGTATCAATGCCTCAGTTTCAGAACCTTAGTTTGCAATTACTAACTTACATTCATGTTTCTTCCTCTTTAAAACTTCCTTCAAAACAAAATAAGGGTTCATGATAAAAATGTTCTCTTTCCTTTTTTTTTTTAATTAAATTGAAATCTTTAAAAATGCACAACAAATAGTGCATCCAATTAATTAACCAGTTAAGGAAGACAGCTGTCCATTCCTATCATTCTAAGGTTTTTAGTTACCAGTGTGTACAATGACTCTTCCCTTGCTTTCAAACTTTTTTGGACAGCAGTTCATCAATTGTTAGTTTCATATTTTGTTAAAAAGGATCCTTAAATAATCAAGACTACAAGACATTTTCAGGTGATGAAAAAAGCTTTTCCCTATTCGAATCTATTGATTTCACTGTGTCCTTTTCAGTAGCACACTGCAGAACAATTTAGAATTATGAAAACAGCTCTTCTGTCATTCTAATTTACTATTTACACAAGGCTTCTCATTTTAACAGGTCATCACCTTGATGAATCATCCAAATTTGAATGTAAAGGACAATGAATTGTCCTTTTGAAACCAATGAAACTTTGTTAAAATTGAAGTGAGCTTTGAAGAACAGTCTATATGACCCAGAAAGTGTCAGCACTTAGAAGTATTATAGTAATTGCTGTTCTGCATTCTACTGGTATTGCTTTACATGGAACAGGAATAAAGGCATCTGTCAGAGGAACTGATGATATATTTGTTCTGTGTTTTTATTTGTAGATTTGATTGATACAGTTATTAAAGCACAATAAATTGTCACCTAAGTATGAAAACACACAATATAGCAATCTACTTACAAAGATTTCTTGATTATTGCATTAAGTTAGTTAAGAAGCTATGTACTGTCAAAACATCAGGCATTTCAAATTGAATTGAAAGGATCATTGTGTGCCATTAGCAAGGCGCTAATTACATAAAAAAGAAAGGATGTATGGTTTGGATTTTTTTTTTCTTGGGCAGTTAACTTCTATTCCTCCAAACAGCTTTTGGAATAAAAATAAGTCACAATTCAGTATAAAATATATGCCCAAAATGAGCTCTATCATGACCATAGCAACATGCTTGGGACTTTTTATTTTATACCATTTTTAACATGTAAACCAAATTTGTGTACTGATTTAGATACAAGGAAATAAAAGATTCATTGTAAACGTTTGCAGTTGTCAGCTTCCAAAATCAATCAATAAATGATACAAAAAGCTACAACTTTTAAGTGTTTTAAAACTGTAAGATCTATAAAACAATGCTGATATGGTTAATAATTGAGAATTTATAACTTCTGCATCTAGTCCTTCAAAAAAATCTACCTTCTATGAACCTGAAAGCCCCACTGATTTGAAGCAAAATAGAAAATATAAGTGCAAATGGGTGTTCTACTTTTGCTTGTTCTTTTAAAGACATTTTAGTCCAAATCTCTGTCAATTTAGAATAAGCACCTGGATTTAAATTTCATTCTGAAAGTAATTGCTCCATTCTTTTCCAAGGAATGACTACATTACCACTCTAGGTCTTTTCAAATGAATTGTAACATGCTGAGTGTGATGAGCTTGTAGTAGAATTGCTTTTTTTGTGTAAAAGACTTTAAGTTTCTTCAAGAAAATCAAGAAAATAATTGAAGGTTTTAGGTTTTTGGGTTCTTTTACTCTAACTAATAAAATCAGGAGACTGTTGTGAGATCTAGCGGCAAGCAGTTTGATGTCCTCAGCAGGACACCAAAACTCAGAAGTAGCGCTGTAAATTCAGTGTGGGGCTTCGACACTATGCTAAGTGTGGCCTGAATCTCTGGGGCTTCCCTTTGATGCAAGTGCAGTATATTAACTGGAAAAGCATTCACTTTTATTTGTCTGTACTGTCTGCGACAGCAATATCGCCTCATTTAGGCTAGTTCAACATGAAAATGCACAGAGAAGCAATCTGTTATAAATTAGCACAGCTCTCCTTTCATTTTACTAGCTAGTAATTGGAAGGGGTTACAAAAGTGTAATTTATCAGATTATATGTGTTTATCTTTTTGTGGGGACAGCATGGCTTTGGTGAATTTTCCTACGCACCCTGAGGGAATAATCTTTCCTTGATGTCCATTAGATCTGAAAGAAAACAATGACGCCTGTGAAATATAGGAGTATAATTTGTTGGGTTTGAGAAGCAGCAGTTTCCCAGACATCTAAAATGGTATTAATGACTTTATTAGAACCTTACCGTTCCTTGGAAATGCTTTTGCTCTCTCGTTTCCAAATGGTCTTGAAGTCACTGCAGAATTCATACCACACCGTGAAAACGTAGTTTGGTGTGATCTCCTTCTCGCCAGGCTTTGGCTTTATCCCAAAGTATCCCACTGTTTCTTCAAAGCTGCAAGGGAGGGAAAAAGAAAAGAAACCAGTCACTGCATAAGCCCACTGGGGAAACAGTTTCTCTGATTCAGTAGTCAAGGCAGGTAATGACCATAACTTCTCCTTACCCTTGGAAACTACAGCAGCAATTCACACTAAATACAACTAACCTTCCAACACCCATCTCTCTTCCAGGAGGATAACTTAGAGATGCACGAGCCAGCACAGAGATCTGTCACACTGGCAAATCATGGGTGTTCAATTATAATGAGAAAAACATAACTTGTTGCCTTACAAGAAATGCTGTAATATATTTATTTCCTTTATTCTGCTGCACTCCATGAAGATCCTATTCTCCCATTTATCTTCACTGAAGAACTCTAGAAGAGTCACACACCAAGTCAATAAAAAATCTCTAGGTTTGGTTGAAAATAATCTTCTAGTATTTAGGGAGAATTGGTAGCAGCAACAACCAAGCAACAACAGAGAGTGCCAATAGTACTTTTGCAACAGTTTTACTGAAAATAATCTATTTCCACATGTGTCAATAAGCAATTAATTTTACAAAAATACATTGCCAGTATTTTAATGCTCTTAAAAAGATGTTATAATGTGGCTGTTACTGAATGCTATACAGCTGGATATTTTCAAAGTATTCTTTTAGTACAGACAATACTTCCAAGAGCATTTTAACCTTTTGTGCATTAACTTTTATGACATTGCCTTGTATACATAAAATGGAACAATCTACATAACTAGGTACTTATATAAATAAAAGTATGTTCAGTTTTGTTAAAGTTGAATCACTTTTCTCTGCAAAGTAGATACAACAATCCTGAAATATTTGGTGATATTTATTAAAAATAATGCCATAATTTAAAAGCAAAGGTAACACCATATTTTAAAATAAGTAATATTTCTAGTAATAATCATTTTATTTAGTCAGAAGAAATCTATATTCTTCTTTAGAGTTGCAAATAGGTTCTAAAGCTAAACACAGGAGGTGTAAATCTTGGAAATTAAATAAATAATTTTGAAGACCTGTAAGTATGAGTCTCCAACCATGTTACCATGAACTATGGATGCAGCTTTGGCATCCTTCTTCATTTATATTTGCATAGTTCACATTGCAGGTTTTCATACAGAAAAACCAAGGTTAGGCTCAAGATTTTTTGACTTAGTTTATAGTTAAAGCTTTTTAACTAGGCTTGAAGAATGTAAAGTATCCATCAAAAACTACAGAAGTTATCCATCCAAAATAAAGCAATATATACACCAGCTACTTCACAACGAAGCTTGGATTTTAGCCACATAAGCCAATATGCTCTGAGGTTTTTTTGACACTTTAAAGATAGAAACCATGCTGTACAATATCCCATATTGTTCAAGGTAAGCTATAAAAAAAATAGGATTTTAAAATCCTCATATGTGATAACCTTTTACATTTCTTACTAGGACTTGCATGAAACATTTAACTATATTTCAAGTTAACTGATGTTCCGTATTTAAGGAATCAGAATGAAATATGTGTATAAAAGGCTATAACATTCAGAGTTAATGGATCTTGCAGTGACACTATGAGGAGAAAAATAAATAAACAAACAAAAAATAAAATACAGCTTTACATATCTGTGTAAAACGTTTTGGTTTTCAAACTCTAAAAATACTAAAATATCTTAGCCATAATTACATGGTTAAAATCATTTATGTTTACTGGGCAACATAATTTGGATTACATTCACTTGGGTAGGCCAAATGCTCCTCAGCTGTTCACAGCACTTTCACTGGGGTAGTTCAGCCAAAAGCAGCAACAACAGAGACTCTTCTCAGGTTTGCTTCATGTAAAACAGCCCCAGGTACATTGTGCACTCTTCTACCTAACAGAACCCCTCACCATCCCAGCTGCAGCATTCAAAGGTGGGACCCTGAAATCCTGCACTGTCTCTCTCTGCCTTCATCCTGACACTTTGCATCCTCTCTTCCTTTCTTCATCAGCCCCCAGTAGCACTCCTTTGCTTTCAACCATCTTAGTCTGTCTTCCTGGGCTACTGTCTGTCTTTCTAAATTAGTAATTTAAAATACTTAATATTCAGCTAGTAATTAAAAACCCAAACTCTGTGCTGGACAACTAATTGCCTAAGTCAACTACAAATGGGGTGCAGCTCTCCACCCTGGAGAGTCTGTTCTACTCTAGAAAGGCTACAAAGCAGGTAGGATATGAAGGAGCCTTGAGCCAAGAAGTTAGGTTTGTAGCTAAGTAAAGCCAGTCAGAGACTTGAAATAAGGAGGTAAAGCCCCAGCTTTACCTGCCCCAGCCCCAGTTCAGCCAATATTTAGGCACCTTCTGCAACAGATGGGAGCAGTTCACTTGAACTTCATTTGGGAAGTGCCCCTTATCTCCCTCTTGCTGACTGTGTAGGAAAACTAACTGAAGTGTCTCAGGTGGAGAGAGTATGGTCTGAGAAAAGCACAATTAAAATCCAAATTACCACAGATCTGCCTCCAGTGACCAGGAATAAAAAATATTGATAGGAAGTTAAAAATTAATTTACCCCAGTTTATTTATAGCAGGTCCATAGCTAAGATGGATGTTTCACAAAACTACAATTTGGTAAACAATATGTATTAGGAAAACCAACTTATTGAATATTTTACTATCTATCTATAAATCAATCTCACTTTTCTCATACTTTGACTCCGTTGGCCTAAGTGAGGCACAATTATTCAAACAATAAAAACATTGGGATTTCTGAGGCAACCAAGTGCAAGTGCTGAAAATGTTCAGTGATGATGAAATACATTTTTATGTCATAAAGTAGTTAATCAGTTTTTTATCTTTTCTGTAAAACCCTCTTTCAGTTCAATGCTGATAATTATTAAAACCTCAAACACAGTACACTGTTTGGATAAAAACTCAAATGAAGGTTTTCCTGGAAGATTACATAAGAGTTTTTCAGGAAACATATTACTTCTTTGAAATACAGATACTTTTTGCTACTTAATGTAATTCCTAAATTCAATAATATCTTTAATTAAAATACACTATTAAAAAACACTATCAAAAATCTTACCATTTTTGAGCATTTTCCAAACTGTTCTCTTCTTTTTTCCGTTCTTCTTTAGCTGCCAATGAGAAACATTTTAAAGGTATAAATTACTATCTTACTGTTTTAGAAAGCCCACAGATTAAATATCTCTTATTTTAAATACTGCACAATTTGTATACTAAGTATAATAAAAGTGGGAAACACTTGCTAATTTTCAGTTTTTACTTTTTTCTTGTATACAATGAATGTTTCTACTGTACCAATAAGGTTTATTGGATTTGAAAAGTAATTTAAAATCTGTATTATAATATATAGTGTTAGGATTTAATTGAATAAAACATAAATAATTAAACTTCACTTTCAGATGTTTTAAAAAGAAAAGAATTTGTACTTGTTTCTTTATTGTTGTAGACCAGAACTTACAAATTTAAACGTGTTTCTGCAGCACAAACAATTGGAAGTTGAACTGGAATTGAACAGGTACCAAACATAGTTAACACCAATTGTTCCACAGAGCTATCACGTATTGTTTTGGAAGTTGGCAAGTGAAAACACATGTAGTAGGTTTTAAACGTATGGCATATACATGATTTTTTCTGAAAAATCAGCCAAAAGTTTGAAATACGGTTAGTGAATCTGAGCCCCTCTATTGCAGAATGCTCACATGAACTACTTAAAAGAATTTGATTTTCAAAAGATAGGCATTCTCTACTAGTGAAAATGTTTCCTGACATGGATACTCAAAGCAAGACAAGTTTTTGTTGATCAAGTCTTCTTCATACAGAAGAGCAACTTCAGCTCCAGCAGAATACCACATATATAAAATAATACTACTGTGGAAAAGTTATTCCTACTCCATATTAAAATAATCCTGCAAGTGGTAATGTTAATATAAACAGAATTCAGACACTTTTTAATACAATGATAAAGAACTTTTATCTTTTTGCTTCTCAGTCTACAGGAGCACCTGGTTGAAATACAGTTGCAAACTGAGTTCACAGACAAGGCCATTGAGAAACTGGTCCTGAATGAGTCAATTTCATTATAAGGGTACTGACAAAGAGGTTTGTACTATGATAGTTTATAATGAAAATAAATATTGATTGCTTCAGCACATTTGCTGTTAACAAAAAAAGTTAATTTCAGCTCATACATTTCCCTACATTGGGTGTGTTGGAGATATTTATTCCTATTATTTCAATGTGGCAAATAAACAGAAACAATGTTCTGTGCCCTTTGCAAGGAAAGCAATTAATTCTATATGATTAGGTTCTCCACCTCAAATCTAAGTGGCAAGACAGCTGCAATTAAAATATATAGGGCAGATCTGAGTTATTACATTCATCTCAGGGTCCCAAAAATTTGCCTAAAATTAACCGAATATACTTAATTCCTTATTTTAATTTTATACCATTAAAAGCAGAAATCACAGGTTGGAATTCTATTGATTCATAATGATATAAAATTAACTGCACAAGCTGAACTATGTATAAAATTGTACAATTCATTATTACACTTATTTCTGGTTTTCAAACATAGCTACACTCCCAGCTACAACAGAAACAGTATCTTCAGATCCCTACACATGAAACACAATAACTACTAACAAGGACAACATGTTTATACTTTTACAGTTAGGTGTCAAGACCTGATTTGCTGTTTTTAATCTTGCAGAAACAAGTTAAGGAAAGACAGTGGAAAAAATTAATTTAATTTTTTATACAAAGTAAAAAAAAAAGGTGTGACTTTAAGGAAGAAACACACACAGTTTACATTAATGTAACAGTGTTTGTATTTGTGTACCAATAAAAGGGAAAACAGGAAGGAAGAAAATATATGTATTATATGGCAAACGGTATTTTCTGTATTTTTAACTGTAAACATGTCCACCCAGGAATTGTTTAAAAGCATTTATTTGAAATTATTATTTTCTGACTTGTTAAGAAAATAAATGAACAACTCCGTATAACAAATTCTATAATGTGTAAGACAAGAAACTAAAGCAATTCTCTTATGTTCCATAAAACTTCTAACTAATTTTCCACTCAAAATCTGAAATATCCTGCCCTTTTTCTCCCCCTCCACAACCTGCAATGACTAGCACAATCAATGCTATCAGATATATGTTTCCATGAAACAATGCAATTTCCTCAGCAGAGTCTTCAAAGCCCCATAGTCAAGATATCAATCCTTGTCTTAATTCATGAAGTTACCGATGGCAATTCAAATTAATCACATAAGTGAAAGAAGTTATTTCTTTTTATTTCTCTAGCAACACCATATTTGCTTGCATAGGATTTGCTTTTTGCAGAAGTGGAATGAGGTAATCCTTTCACCCTTAGACCAGGTGTTTTGATTTCAGTTTCCTCAAGTTAAGAATATATTAACAGCCATATCAGACTGACACAGGGATTCATCCAGTCCAATATCCTGTCCCTAGGAGGCACTGAAACAGGTTCTCACTTAGAATTATGGACCAGGACAAACACACTTCCCCCAAGTGAACTCTCTGCCTCTGAGATTCTGTAGCTCATACAAAATGTTTCCTGCATTGAATGGCATTGAAATTAAATCCTCAATGGAGTCTCCTTCAAGAACTTGCTCATTCTTTGCTCAAGCTATTATAATCTTTTTAACTTCCACAACCTGTTGTGGCAAGTGTTCTATAGCCCAACTATAAGCAGCACATTTTGTTTATTTTTAAATGGACACCTGGTATCACTCTTGTATCAGAGAAAACATGACTGCAGTGAACACTGAAATACGGTGTCTTAGGGTGGTTTTGAAGCAAATTTCCTCAGTATTCCCCATTTATTGAGCAGTGATTTGGTTTGCAGGTAGGTTTTGGTGTTTGTAAACTGAGTTCCATTAGGAGGAAACTAAACAGAAAGCTCCACAGCAAATGTACTGCAATATTTAATAGGGACAAAAGGACCAAAGTAACATTTGGGCCTTCTGACATCTTTGAACACATGAGCAAGATGATCTTATGAATTTGCCTTATGAATCAGATATTTGTGATGATTTCCTTTTAATGAAACGCAGAAGTCAGCATGAAGATTCATGATCTTCTAACAGTTTAAAAATTGAAGTAGTATTAGAGTGAAATGGTAACAAAATCCTCCTACTTATTTTTTCCACATATTCTAATTTTTGAGGATGGGAGAGTACATGAAACACTATACTGAAAATGAGAAAATACCAGAAAATATTTATTTTTAACAGGTCTAATGTATGCACAGCAACTTCCAGTTACAACAGAACCAATACTGGATCTACAAAGAACAAAGGAAAGAAAATACTGGATACCAGCACAGACTGAAAATTGAGAAGGTCAGTAACTAACAGAGGCAAGCCGAGAAAGATGATGCGCTAAGTTGAGAGAAAGGAAAAGAAAGACAAACAAAGAAAAATGGGTAGCCACAACTACACAAAAAATCTCAGTTACTATGCCACTCTAGTGAAAATTTTAACACTCATTGAGTCTGACTAGACAGATTGTCTGTTACTTCTCTCAGACCTTAAATATATGAACCCACATAAGAAGGATAACTCACTGAAGTGTATTGATTTAGCACATTACAGCTTTTCTTTTATTTTTTAGTATTTTATTACTTTCATAATTGAAAGATCTGATGCATATAGTTTTTACAAATTTTCTAAGATTTTTGGAGCAGCGACAATTTCCACAATTACAAGAAAATTGCAACAACTAGCTGTCAGGATGGAGATACCAGAACTCTTAATTTTATATACCAAGGCTAAGTTCCTGTGATTCAAAAATATATGCTTCAAGAACTTTAAGAGACTGCTTTGTAAATTCTAGTGTTTTCTGCATAGGAAAATCACAATCCTAAAACAAGGTATTTGAATTTTTTTTCCCTTGAGGAGGGAGATATATCTTTTCTGACTCATGTTTTCCAATCAGTCACAGTTAAGATTAAGACAGAATCTATAATAAGATGTAGAAAAAACCCCAACCCAACCAAAACTCAACCTTAAAAGTAAACAACAAAACCCCTACTGACATTCCTCTTGGAACTTTATAAAGCCTGGACAGAGACTGTTAAAACAGTGAAAAATTGTTATTTTGACATTTCTAGTCTTATGGGAACCCACGTTCCTCATTAGTCAAAACTAAAACCTCTTAGGTAGGCATGTTGAAATGTAGCCAAAACATGGACCCCATCCTAGAAACATACTAACCCTTGATTTAAAGGCTGAGGAAGAAAAGTATACCCCCCAAAAGGTTCAGCTGGGTTATCTTTTCCCAAAGTGAGGAAAGTCACATTCTGCGACATTATCAAGTTAGAAGAACAAGTGACAACTGACCATATTTTCTCGGTCTTTGTAAAGCATGAACCATGCTTTGAAAGCATTATCACCATTTGAAAACAGAGATCCCAATCTCTTAGATACTATCATTGGTGATATACTTGGGTATCAGAAGTTGAACCTAGAAGGCTCCCAGGCTAAAAGTGTAGTAGATCTATTTCCACCCTCAAATACAATTGTTATGCAAGAGATTGTTTAATATTAAATTAAACAATTATTAAATTCTTTAATAACCCTGTTTAATCAGGGGCTTTGGAGAGTGGAAGAAAAACCTCAAAGGTGTCCTAGGCGGGAAAAATGACTACAGAAGACCATCAAAAGCTCTACAGTTATGCAGTTTTTCTGTTTCTGAACAAAATCCTTGACATGTTCACACTACTAGCATACTCACTATAGTAGTACTACAACCAGAAGGATTAGAGTGGGATGAAATAAGCCTTCTTTGGTTTTGATTTCAACAGACATATTAACACTGAAATTTTTTGAATAGATTTAATTTTTAGGAAATCCTTGACTCAAGCCATATAGCATCATGGAAAGCAAAATTTTCATAGGGATGCACCTGCTAGCACGTGGCATTTCTTTGAGCTGCAAAGAACTACCATGAGCAATCTAAACCCCTTCCCAAGAGCTGCTATTTTAGAATCATCATGGGTTAACTGTGGCCAGTAGCTATGCACCCCACAACCACCCACTCAGTTTTCCCCTTTCCACCTCAATAGGAAGAGCAAAAGTAGTAAA